GTTAGATATTTAAAAGGTCATTTATTTGTTATTATATATTATTTTTTTTTCGCTTTTAATTTATTTCTTCTTTTTATAAATTGTAAATTTTTCTTTCTTTTTAGTATAGTTAAAAAATAAAATAAAAGGAATATATTATTATTTGTTTATTATATTAAAAATCATAATATATTTTCTTTTTTATATAGAGAAGATTTATTAATATCTTCTTTGAACGCGAATTTATTTTAAACCTTTTTTTTTCAAATAACTTTCACTTTTCCAAATATATTCTTTTTAAATTTTTTTAAAAAAAAATATGTGAATACTGTATATTTATAAATGATATTAATTTATACGCTTTAATAAATTAAATTTTTATTTAACAAAAGAAATAATTTATTTATTAATACCAAAAAAAGAAAGAAAGTAAGTAGATGAAGTGAGTAAATTATGTTTAAATATGGAATGTCAAACAAGAACAAATGAACCAGATACCATTATTATTATCCTTGCCCTTTAAGTATAGCTGAGTTATTTTTAAGGAGGATAATATATGACAACTAATATAATGTAATACATAGCTATTAGAAAATATAATCTGAAATTTAAAAAAAGAAATATAGATATTTTTTTAATTTTTAAAATATTTAGTAATAATAAACTCGATGATCAAAACTAGACGTGTGACTGGGTTCGATTCTAGGAGGCCCCAATAGGCCTTTATCTCAATGCGATAACCAGAGACTTATATCTTAAAGAGGAGTGAATGGGGGTAAAACACAAGATAGTTGTTGAAATTGGAAGGGCGGGGTGAGTAGTTATGAAGACGCCATCGTCATTTAAATAAAATTGAAGGGGATAGTTTTAATTTAGATTTTTTTTCTTCATAATTTTGATTTGGTAGAAGAGGTTTAACTGTAATTGGTTTAGGCGAAACCGCGTCTCAAATTTAGTACCGGAACTAAGACCCCACTTTTCAAACATTTATGAACCGGAAACAGAGCTATTTTTTATCTATAAATAATGTATCATACCCGTGAGTCAGTTGTAGCACTGTTTTGTAGGTTTCCACTTCTACATGTGCAATCATATAATGATAAATGTAGACAAGATTCGCGTAAAAGCTTATTGGAATTTTGTAAAGAAGAGAATATTACATTTTTTTTATATAAATTATAAATGACTCAAAGGTTAACAGCAAAATTGTCTACAATTCATAAGATACGTATTTCCGGTAAAATTCGAATTTTAAATTTAAACAAAAAAACACGCTCAAAAAATGATTTAAGGTTATCAAAATTTAGTATTGTTAAACGGCCGAACTCAATATTTTAGCCAGAAAAATACTGCCTAAGCCTCAAGATTTCGCTAATAGATGGCCAAACCTTTGTTATCCTACAAACAAAATCTTCAGGCTTGCGTAATATTATATTCTGAATGAAACCTTGAGTTAGCCATTTTTAAAAATCGGCTCAAAACGAGCTGTTTAACAAAACTATTAAGAATAACACATTGCCGGAAAAAACACATTGAGGCTAAACATATACAATTAAAAAAAATCCAAAAATAACTTCTTTCAAAAGAAAAAAAGAATTACTCACATTTTTGTTATAGATAGCTGACATCGTCAAATATCAATATCCCACAAATATCTAAAAACTATAAATTATTGAATATTTTGAAGAGAAAGAACCTAAATCATTATTTCGAAATGTTGTTAACTGATTTGTAAAAAAATAAAATAGATATAAAAAATGATTGATTTTGATGGAATATATATTATGTATTATTATTAATATAATCGTTTTCAAATATATACAACAAATTTTTACAATAAAAATAACGTTAATTTTAATCATCGCCTAAAGAAAAGCAAAATATATAAAGCCATTCTTATTTTTATTTTTTTTAAGTTTAAAGACTTATCTAAATTTTTTAAATTAGGGGGAGGGGGGGGGGCACATTTTTATGTTTTTTAATTTTATTTATTAGAATTTTTTTTTCTCAATATAATAGCAAATTGAAATTTTAATATTTTCCTTCACCTTCTAGTTAAAATTTTATCTAGAGAATAGGAAAAGTCTTCCCGGATGGTGCCAGCCAGTCATTGCAAATCGTTCCTAAAAAGGGCCTCATTTTCATAGTGACTTCACAAGACGTGTCTTGCCCGAAGAGCAAAAAACTGATTTTTTAAAATTATATATTAAATGGGCAAGTTATATTATAATTTTAGGAATGTATACATTTAGGTCTAAATGAATATAGTAAATTAGATAAATTAATTATTTCCTAAAGATTGATATTTACCAGTTATTCTTTAACGCACTTAATTATATTTTCCTTAATTTCAGAAAGTTTTTTTTTAATGGGTATTGATTAGATGAAAGGTTTCATGTTATTTTTATCATATTTATAATATTTCCCTTGCCGTTCTAAGACATTTCTAAGCCAGGACTTCGAACCGAACCGCCAAACCGGAATGAACCGTTATGATTTTCTGAACCGTAACTTTAACCGAACCGTTATAAAGAAAATATAAAAAGAGCGAACCTAACCGTTATAAATATTTTGAACCGGTTAACCGGTTCAGGTTTAAACCAGTTCAAAACGGTTTAAAAAATTAATTAATTTTAAATTATTATCTAAATTTGAAATTTTAATTTTCCTTGGGGGAATTTTTTAAATTTGGTGATTTCTTTTCAAATTAAATATTTTTATATTATCAACATTATATATCAATTAATACCAAGTTTATTGTTTTTTCTTTAAATACTTATTTTATTAAAGATTAGGCTATTTATCTGTTAAATAAGATATCTTAAAATCACACATAATTATTCTTGGCTAAACAAGTTTATATATATAAGTTATTAATAAGCTTTTATAATAATACTTGCTAATAATTTAGGAAAAAATTAAATCAATATACTATTAATAACTAACATCTAATAGAAATCAAGTACTTTTTACATTCATTTTTATATATGGTTTATTTTTTATCTCATAACTTGGATCATAGAATTTAAATGACAATAAATAAAATGGTCAGCAATATTTTAATGATATGATAATTTTTTATTTATAAACATATTCTTTTTTAAATTCAGAATTCTAATATTCATTTAAGTCATTATAAATTATTTATTATTAAAATAATATTTTTAACATTTGAAGAAAGAGAGATCGCCAGAAAACATCTTTGTAAAACTTGGAACTTGATACAAAGTCTAAATAATCAGAATTTTGAAATTCTAAATACTATGCCTACGTGTTCGCATTCGAAAGATAATTTAGATGATGATTTTGAAGATTTATTAAAGTCGCATAAAAGTCTTAATAAGAATAATTCTCGGGGCATAGAAAATTATAATAAATGTATAGAAATAGAATATATAATTCGGTCATTTGATAATATAGAGAGATTAGAAAAAGATACTAATCTTTTTAATTATTGGGAAAATGTAAAGAATAGTATGCCAGAACTTTATAAGTTAGCTATAAATGTGCTAGCAGTTCCAGCTATGCAGGTATCCGTAGAAAGAGCATTTTCTAGCCTTAAGTTTATAGTCTCTGCGCAGAGAACTAAATTAAATCCTGAAATATTAGAAAAAAATTTTTAGTCATCCGTTCTAATTTTCTTTTTAAACATAAATAGTATACCTTTTATTATATTTATGCGTTATTTTATTCATCATTGTATTTACGCATGTTTGTTTTTATCTTATTTATTTATAAAATAAAAAAAATTTGTCTAATTTATATTTACTAAGTTTAATAAAAAAAATCTATTAGATTATCATGGTTAAATTAAATAAGAAATTATAAATTGAAAAGATTTTTCTCTAAAATTAATATATACATGGTTAATGATTAATTTTTTTCTAAAACAAATTTATAAAAACCGGAACAAACCGAAATGAACCGTTATAAATTATAAACCGAACCGATATAGATTTTTTTTTAAAAACCGAAATGGAACAAAACCTTTATAAAATTTTAAACTAAAAACCGAAACAAACCGAACCTTTATGCTTACCGGTTCGAAACCCTGTTTCTAATAAGGAGATTATATATTTATTATAGATAATTTTGAGATTTATTGGCAATAATGTTATTATCAAAAAACTTGCATTAGTTTATTATTTGATGAAAAATAAAATTTACTCGTTAAGTATTAAACTGATTCAGTAAAACGCGACCGGTTCTAAAGTTTACTTTCTGTAGTTTACGGTTTTAAGACCCGTTAGTATGAGACAATCCCAAAAAATTACTCTAGCCTTAAGACGCTTTCTCAATAGAAAAAATTTTCCCTAAATATTATTATATTCAACACATTCAAGAATATTGGGTTTCATTGAAAATATTCTTTTTAAAGACTTAGATATCCTTTTTGACAAAGCAGAAATTTATTTTTGTATTTCGTTTCGGTTTTCCCACTGGAAAACTAGGACTTATATTAAATTTTATACACTTGAAACTTTTCTATTTTTGCATTATTTATTTATTCTTTATTAAATTTGTTTTTAAATTAAAACAATGTGATAACTTTTTTATAACTATAAGAATTCTTAATCACATAAAATTCCTTTTTATGTTACTATCATACAATATTTATCTATGTAAAAATTATAATTAATTTTATTTTTTTAAAGGCAAATATTTTTTTAAAAAATGATGATAAAAAAAATATTGATTTATATAAAAGAATAATAAAATAAGAAATAATATTTTTTATATATATATATAAATTATTAATATATAGTGGTTGTTTTAAATATATATAACAATTTATAAATTTTCTTTTTTTTTGTAAACTTGTTAAGTTTTCGGAGTCTTTCTTTTATAAATTTATAAATATCATTACCTTACTTTTACCTTGGAATAAAATATTATATTTATAATAATATTAAATATAATGATTATAATGTCCAGATAATATGTTACAAATTATATTTGTAAAAATAAATATTAATACTATTTTTATATAAATGACAAAAAAAAAAGACAAAATTTTTATTTAAAAGCAAAATATCATCAAACCTTCCTACCTAGTATATATATATTATATGATGTGAAAATATAATTTTTTCTTTCTCTCCGTAAATACATCGTAAATCTATATACGCAGAACATAGGCAAAATCATCTTATTAATTAAAAATTCGTATAATTCACTGATAAGGAATTAACCGGAAAAATGGGATTCCGTGAAAACGATTCGAAATTACTAGCAGCAAAAAAATCAATATTCAGGAGAGAGAGTCATTCATCCTTGATCTCAACCAAATTCAAGTAATAATCTATTATCATGCCATACTCTATATATTGAGTATTTTGTGTATAAAGGTGTAGCAAAGTAGCAATTAGACCAAAGAAAGGGGGAGGTGGTGGTTAAGCTTTTGGAATTAATTAAAAGAATTTAAAATAAATTCACCTAGCAAAATAATTAGATTAGAACTTAGGGTAATATTGTTAGGAAATCGGATAATTTTAAAAGGGTTAGGCTGGTAAAAATGGTTAAAAATATGCGAAAATGGTTCACATAGCTATATTTATTTGGAAACAAAAATGAAATAAAATTCAAAAGAAATAAATTGGTGATATATAATTTAGGGGAAAATTAAATTTACCTTTATCGATTTTTAAAAACTTTTAACTTCGACGTTAACATGAAAATGTGACACGAAACTTTTTTTCTAAAGTAATAGGTTGTAGCTTTTTCGGAGAGGCTTTATAATGCGAATGTAGATTTATATTGGAAGTTTCCACTTTTATTCCGGGTATTAAGTTTGTCTAGCAGCCAATAGCATTTGGATTTATCATTTTATAAGATCAATTCTTTGGATAAAATATCTTAAGCGTTTTATTTTAAACTAAGATAAACCCATTGAAGTTAATAATGACCTAATAATGATTTATTCATTAAAATTCATTAAAAAGTGCACACAATATCGAAATTTTTCCATTGAATTTAGAGAAAAATAAAAGGCACATTTAAAGGAAATGTCTGTCATTGGTGTCTACTACAGCCAAATGACATAGACTACAGTTACGGACTTTAATGTAAATGCGTTTGATAAACGAATCAGCAGTCAATATAATTATTAATTCATTGAACGAACCAAAGATTGTTTTTTTAATAGAATCTTTGATCTAAGGTCTAGATTTCCTTTTTGTAACTTAACACTGAAAAATTATTGAGTCTATATTTATAAATTCTGGCTTTTTTAACATTTTCAGCTAATTGATTCTCTTGAGAAGCGATGCGTTATAAATATAGGTCATGCTATACGAATATATGTTATGTGCATAATATACAACAAAATACCCTATCCAATATTTTAAAATGAAACATTACAAATAAATAAATAAGGTCGTATAATATTCCAGGAACTATAGTATTAATTTGGGGTATAACAATGATGTTGATCACGTCTCCCGTATACGCTCATATCAGGTTAACTTATCCTCCTGCCAGATCGTATCAATTCGATTTTTTAGATAACGTTAGAACATCTGGCCCATGTGGAATCCCTACAAGTTAGCAACATTTAAAATGATTCCTTTTCTTGCTTCCTTCCTTTCCAATTTTGTTAAAATATTTATCTTTTTAGGGTCATCAAATTATTTCTCTCTAAAAAAAAAAATTAATCAATTTTTAAAGAATAAAAGATCGAATTGCAATGATAAACTTTAATATAATTTATAGGTGAAATAATTTAAACACATTGAATTAATAGAAATATTAGAAGGAAAAAAATTAAATTAAGGATATTGAATAACAAAAAAGTTAATTTATTATATAAAATTATACTATATATTATAACACTTATTTTTATTATAATGTAAATATTAATATTTTTCTAAAATAAAAAAACATTTTTCTTTTCAATTTTATATTTATAAATTCCCAGATTATAATAATTGTGTTGGATTTACAAGATTTTTTTTTTAAATTGTCGTCTACATGTAAGGATTTTGAATTGATTATCTTATATTACTTTTTTACACTTTTTGAAAATAGTATATTAACATTCTTAAAATTAAATGAGTCGGGGATTGTTTTTAATTATTATTGACTTTTAGTGTATTATCAACTAGAAAGAAAGAAAGAAAGAAAGAAAGAAAGAAAGAAAGAAAGAAAGAAAGAAAGAAAGAAAGAAAGAAAGAAAGAAAGAAAGAAAGAAAGAAAGAAAGAAAGAAAGTTTATATATATATATCGTCAATTTTTTTTAATTTCCTAAGGGTCTAGGGTAACTTTAATGATTGCCTCATTAGTATCTCTTCGCACCCACTCCTACACCCCGATAAGACGATGATATATATTACTAATGTTGTTAAACGGCTCGATTTGAGTCGATTTTTAAAAACGGCTAACTAAAAACATTTTTAGCCAGAAATATTTGCCTAAGCCTCGAGATTCTCGTTAATAGGTGCTGGTCAAATCTTTGCGCAATCTTTGGGCAAAATCTTAAGGTTTGCATAATATTTTTCTGGATAAAATATTGAAGCCGTTCTTAAAGATCGACTCAAAACGAGCCGTTTAACAACACTAGATATTACCTTTTCCCCATTAAGTAAAAAGAAGGAAATCAAATCAAAATCCCTTTAGAAAGAAAGATATTTTTTTTAGGCTACGAATAAAGCTGCTTTTTTTAATAAAAGAAAAAGTAGAAAGAATTTAAGAAGAAAATCTATATTGAAATAATAGATTGCGCCAAAAAAGGGGAATTTTATTTTTCAAAATAAATTGACCAAAACTTAATTTTACAACCCCGGGTCCTGAGAATAATATTTTTTTAAATACAGAATCTGAACCGAGTCGGTTATCTCGCTAGAGTCTTCATATAGTGATTGAACTTACTCAAAAGCGGTTCATTGACTGGTTTGCGCATCTATTAGCGAAATCTCGAGGTTTAGGCGATATTTTTTTGGCTAAAATAGTGATTTAGAGAACCGTTTAAAACCCCAAGTCTTAAGATTTGGCGAACAGATGTCCTAAACTTTCTACCATCTATGAGCAAACAAAATCACCAGTCTGGCAAAATACTATTTTGGTTATAATCTTAATTGGGTCGTTTTTTCAAAAATCGACCCGAATAGGCTTTTTGGCAACATTAAATTTTAGTTATATATCTACTAATCAAGATTTATTAGGCGCTTTTTAATAGTTAGTTATTAATTATCACAGTGTTGACCAGATTTGATGGAAAACATTTCCATATTTTTTAATTTATTTGAAAATAAAATTATTTGACTTGCAAAAAATTGTTGTTAATAAACGGCACGTTTTGAGCCGATTTTTAAAAACGGCTAACTCAATAATAGCCAGAAAAATATTGCCTAAGTCTCTAGATTTAACGAATAGATATCCAAACCCTTGTTCCTTCTACAAACAAAATCTTCAGGCTTGCGTAATATTATTCTAGATGAAATATTGAGTGTTTTTAAAAATAGGCTCAAAACGGGCCGTTTAACAACGCTACATATTTATATAATTCTTATCAATTTTTACAAGTTAAATAAATTTTATTTACAAACGAATTGAAAATTATGGAAATGTTTTGAATTAAATCTTCACAAACACTGTTAATAATGGAAAAAAAATAATTGAATTTTTATTTAAAAAAACGACTCCTTTACCTATTTTTTTTGTTAAAATATATTATCGCCAAACCACATAAAGATAAACAAGTCTTCTTAATTTTAATAATTAAAAATCAAATTATGTGTTCTTTACTTGACTCTTTTATTTTTTAATTTTTCGCGTAAAATATTCATATCATAAATATAAATTTCATTATTATTTCAACTAGTTTTTGATAATATTTTAAAAAAGTAAGTTATATAAAATATTAGTAGTGATTGGTAAACAAACATCATTTCAACAAATTGAATATTTAATAAGCATATTCTCTACACATCCCAATGAGCTGGGGAAAAATAAATATTACTCAAAGAATGACTAATAAAAGTTGTATACTAAAAAAATAAAAGATTTAGATAAATGTATTAAGAAGAATGAAAAAATGAATCACTCCAGGTTAATTGGTTATTTATATTTTTCCTGTCAATTCTATAAAATGAATATATATCGCCGAAGACTCTTAATTGATGGCGAAGGTAAAAATTATAAGTTTGTTTTTTCTGTGCGAATAACGGCGTGGACTTAATCCCTGGTGGGAATTATTAGACTTGGACTCTAGAAGTCGATACAGTGGTACCCAGACAAAAGGAAGGCTAATTGGACCAGGTTCTAGGCTGATATATGATTAAATTTCATTTCTAAATGTTACAAAGAATGTGGATTAAATTTCCACTTATTAAAAGTGATGTGCCATCTATGTACCAAAATCTTCAGACTTGCATAATATTATTCTGGATAAAATATTAAGTCAACAGCTTTTGAAAATGGGCTCAAATTCCGCTTAACAACCCTATCCAAAAATATTCTAATAAGCCTTTACAGTCTCAGGGGGACTCAAAAATTTTTATTTTCAAATGATCTGAATTCTTTTTTTAGCTAATATTTTTGAAAATTGATCGATTTTTAAGCTAATAATCTCAAAATGCACCTTTTTTTATATATTCATTTTTAAAAGGGGCCTAAGCCCCTATATTCTCCCCCCCCTAATGACATTGAGTAGAGTATATCTACCCTATTATAAATTCTAGACAATTTATGTCATTAATGTTTTGTGTATTTTTAATACCAAAAATCGATATAAAAATTACCATAAATTAGCATTAGTTTCAAAATTTCACCCATAATTTGAAATTGGTTTTTTTTAAACTTTATACATGCTGGAACAAATTTTTCGTTCAAATAAGAATTTGATCAAATTTAAAAATAGCCTTCAATTAATGATTTATAATTAAAAGTTCCTAATCGAATCCCCATAAACATATCTCAATATGATGCACTTATATATATTTATATCTAGTGTTGTTAAACGACCCAATTTGGGTCGATTTTTAAAATCGTCCGATTAAGGTTTGCCAAAATTATATTCTGTAAGCCTCGAAATTTGGCCAAATCAAAACCTTTCTGCGACCTAGGAGAAATATCTAGGCTTATATAATATTATTTTAGCTAAAATCTTAATCTGGCGTTTTTATAAAATCCAATCGGGCGGCGACACTATTTATATAATAATAAATATCTGAGTGTATAATAACTTATTAAAGAATTTAATGAATTGGTTCTTAATAAATATAAATGAAGATGACCGTATTATTTTTAAAAAATTTGACAATTTCAAAAAGCCAACTTTTATTTACATAGTTTTTAAACCTGACCTTGAGAAAACCTAAGTTTTTTTAAAACCACTTGAAGGTGGGCCTTGAAAATTGAAAAGAAGAAAAATTAGACGATTTAGAAAATAAGGATATTACATATCCAAACTCTCATTATTTACGATGCCCAACTCTAAGCGCTCTCTCCATATATTAATTTTTTTACTTGTAATTACCTTAATTGTTAAATAAATTCTAAAATACTAATAAGTAATAATTATAAAATCATTATTTCTTACTTATTAATTTCATTAAATGAAATATATTTTCTTAATGCAATTGATAAAATAAAATATAAAATAGAGTAATATAAGGTTTGTAAAAAATGCTTTCAGAAGATTAAAATTTAAAAAATAAACGGATAACAGCTTCCAATAGTTATATAACATAAGTGCAAAATAAAAATATTAAGTTTAAGACACCACCTTAAAAATTTTTTTTTTTAAAGTTAACAAAAATCTCAGTTATATTAAATTAAAATTAGACATATTTTTTTAAAAATATTTTATAAATGTTATTATTTAATTTTTTTTGACTAACTAGAGAAGTTAGATTAAGATTATAATAAAACTTTAGCAATATAAAGTTTGTAGGCTATAAATGACTAATTTTGTTTGTTTTTTTTAACAGATGAGTAAATTTAAAATAAGGTCAAATTGGCCTTAATTTATATTAATAACGTTTATAAATTTATGGAATATTTATCACTTTTTATAAAATAATTATCTGAAAAACAAATTTATTAATTCGTCAGTTACTAATTCATGCAAGTCTATAAGATTTGAAAGATTATTTTTGGGACAAATTTGGAAGGTTACTCTAAACAAATAAACGTTAAAGATCGTTATAAAAAAAATTTTTTATACAATGAGGAAAAGTTATTTCCTGAAGATATCAGAAAATTAAAATTCTTGAAAAAGAGAAAGAAAAGTAATTTAAAATAATTTATGTCTTATAATTAATAAATATTATAGTATATTGATTGATGAAATATATCTTTTCCAAAATGATTTTAATCCATTTACCTAAAAAGTAACTACATAAGTAACGCAAAATATATCGCCAGCATCTATGGCACTAGTTTTTATTATTTTGATCTTAGGTCTAAATATCACACCGAGCTTATAAAAAACAGAGTTTTCAAGGAAAGGGTTAGGTGTAGTCATAATAATTTGTATATATATCTCTCATAAAAATCTCTAGTATATATATCCTTGATGCCTTTCTAAGAAGAATGATATGTCTTCTTTCTGTTAGGCTTATATCTTCTTTATCCAACTTCGCAATATCATAAGGATGAAAGGATAAATTTTGTTTCACATAATCTATTAATTGTAAAGAGACTTTAATTTTTATTATATATAATATCTGAATTTTTTAGATTACAGTTTACGCATTTTGAAAGATCCTATTCAGTTAAATATTTCGTAATGCTCCATAATTTGAAACCCGTTTGCTCACTTGTATATAAAAATTTTTTAAAAAAATTTTGTTTTATTTATTCATTTAATAAATTTTTCTCAAGATTTTGTATTTTTTTTTAAAAAAAAAATTTACACCTATACTTGATATTACTTTTATGATTACGAACTAGATTAATCAATAATTTTATATAAATAAATACAAAACAAATTTTAAATTTTGACAAGAAGTTTAATTTTCCTTTTTTTTGCAGGGAAGTTTTAAAATAAAATATATACTTTATTATTAAATGAAGTAGGATAGATAAATTTATATTCCTCAAGGCGCTCTGGCAATTGATCAATTCGATATCATAAATTGGGAAGGGTATGGGATGGGGTAGGAAGGGAAGTAAATAAAATTGAAGATTATACATTATTTAAAAACATTGAATTATTTATATTTTTTTTTTATAAATTCAATAAATTCGATATATTTAAAACAAAATAATCCCTTTTTAAAATATTATACAAAAATAAAATTAAGGTTAATATAATTTATTTTTTTAATATTTTATTTAAATAAGGAGATAATGATTTGAATTTTTAAGTTATGAATTTATTATATTTTATAGATTTTTTTCTCCTATTTTTTCATGAATTTTTTTTTCTCTCTAAGAGAAAGAAGACCTTCCCTGCCTATTTATAAATAAATATAATATATTTTTCTTAATTATCATTTTGGCAGTAACCTACATAAAATTAATGTTAATTATAATTATAATTATCCTAAAAAAGGGAATAATTTTTTTTATTTTTTAAATTATGTTTTATTGATTTAATTTTAAGATATTAAAATAGATTATGAATAATTTTGCCGTAAAAATTTTTTTTTACAGGCTTTTATGATTCCATTCTAACCATATATATTTATGTTCTCTCTAATCTTTCTTTAAAAAAACACCTAAGTAATACTTTAAATAACAGAGCATGTCTTGATTAGGGTTATAGGTAGGGCCCTCAAAAATGGGTGGGGGAGAGGGGGGGAGTAATTAATTTTTAAAATCTCAGGGAGTGTTCTCAGTAAAATTTATAATTAAATAATTCTATATATTATACACTAGGGGATCTAAGCATTGGGTCATGAGGGTAGCGTACAGGAATTTTAACCTTCCAAAAAATTGTTGATGGCCACTTATGATAGTATATTATCCCAAAATTTTTTTCTCCCAACTAGATGGGAATGAAAGGCTATGCTGTTCTTACAACATATATGGTAATACGTTTAAATATGAGATATTTAATTCCCTTCTATGATAAAAACTCTTGAACAATGATTTATTATTTATATTGCTACCAGTGGTCTGCAAATGGAAATTTTTTTAGGCCCTTTCCCAACTCAGTGGGAATTTAGCTTTAACCCGGCCCAGAAATTTTTTTTTTAAATACAAGGCTTAAACCAAAATATAAGTTGTTGACCCTATTTATAATCTTGGTTAGTGTTTAAATTAAACACACTATACCCTATGGATTATTACTTCATTGAAATTTAAAATTCATCAAATATAGATATAAAAAATTTTTTACCCCGCCGTGCCCCTTATTCTTTGCCCAACCCTAACCAAAAAACTGGAGCCCACTTATTACCATACTTCTAAAAACGGTGTCTAATTTTATCTTCCTGTAAAAAAAACTATAGAAAAAGATAAATAATTCTAGCCCGAACAGAACCTTAGTTATATTTTTTTTTATGATACAATTTGTAAGTGCAAGTTACTTTAAAAAAGTAACTTGAACGACACAAGATTTAAGGTAAGATATTTAAATTGTGCCCTTGAGTTCTCGGATAATTGGTTTTTTTTTAAAATTATCTTAAATTTCGATAACCCCCCCGATACAAAATTTCTCATTATATAAATTTGAATAAACGGTTATAACTTTATCATTCTATTTCTATCTCTTGAGGGAGAGAATACAAGTATACCATAAGAAATATTCTAGTAAATTTCTAAATAATTTTTTAATGGCATGATGTTCTCCACCTACCTCTTTAACTCGCATCTTAAAAAATATATAAATTCTATTTAGAAATAGGTCCTACCACAAATATTTTACCCGGTTCAACTTTCGATATAACATGGCACTTGGGTTACCCGCATAAAGTAAATATTTCTCTAACTTTCGATTTTAATAAGGTTTGGTAGATATGAAACTTAAATAACAGTTATAATATTAATATATTTTGAATGTCATTAATATACAAAAATCTATTTTGAATTATAGGATAATAATCTAGTTAAATAGTAAACGAAAATTGAAACTTAGAAATAACTGTAATCTAAATAAAATAAGTTCTTCAGTTCTCACAAATTTATGGATATTTTAAGTAAGCATATTTTTTTTACTAGAAAGAAAGAAAGAAAGTTACTAATTAATAGTTATCTGTTGCGATTAAATTAATGGAAATTGTCAAGGGTTTTTGAAGCCTTAATTTTTTTTAGGTTTAATATAGGGTTAAATAAACGGTAGATTCCTAGATAAGCTGCAAATTTTGCAGGTAAAAATCATTTATTAATTGGAATAACAGAAAATAATGTTCAATCGGTAAGGGGAAATATTAATTGTTATTTATAAATTTTGGGATATAATTATTTTTATTTGTAATAAACAAGGGTGGATTTAGGATCGAATTGATAAATTCTAAAGATGAAGTGATCATGGTCTTAGCTCCTAACTCATCAAATATAACTTTTGCAGAAACCGGAGATGCTACGTAAATATACCTTTTATTGATTTTTTTGCGTTGTTATAATATTGATTATCCGTGGCATATAACTCAAATTATATTTTGCTTTATTTAATAAAAGATGTTGGTTAGACGTAGACTTTTATTTAATTTATATATGGGATGTTTAAATTTACTTTCACCGCTAAGGATAATTTTTATATTATACATACAATCAGCTAACATATAGAGGGTCAGTAAAAATACAGGTGGAATGATAGAATTACTGGGTGTGGAGGGTGAGAAGAGAGATGAGAAAGATAGATGAGACCCTTTTTTAAAAATTATATTTTCCATACTTCCGACAATTTTACATAACAACACAACTGTTAGAAAGATAAAATATAATTAAGGGATATGGAAAAATTTATTCTAGTCTAAAAACTAATTTAATATATTTTTTATATTGGACATTTTACAAGTGTCCAAAAACAACAAGTGACCATTCCTTCCATTTTAACATGCGAAAATTGTTTTATTCGTTTGCTCCGACAAGCTAAAGAATGGTCGGCTGGCTCAAATGGATATCTATTTTGGAGTTGCGCTGATGTTAATATTATGCCAGGTTGAAAAATAACTATATTTTTTTTCTTTTTATGATCATTACCGGTTTTTGGCATCTAAATTTTAAAATAATATTAACTCTGATACGACCTAAAAGACTTACCAATATGTTACTTAGTCTAACATTAAACGCGAATATTTCAATACTGTTTGTAGTAGGACTAAAAAAAATTTTTTTTTCCTAGTTATAATGTATATATATAACATCTTGTGAAGATTTAAAATCAGTAATTAAGTTAAATTTAAAATGATAATTATTAGGTTGCTATAGACATTATCAAATTAGGAAATATCTAAAATCTACGTTGCCATTTAGTTAAAACATATGTTATAATTAGTGCTGTAAACATTACTTCAAGAAAGAAACGCGTTACTCATTATACGTTTCGAATAAAAGGAACGCTTACCGTTACTTAAAACTTACTAAATACTATATGTAAATGCATTTTTCTGATATGATTACACCTCTATTTTTATTTATACTAGAATTTTCACAACAAACAAAATAAAATACGTATAAAAGTATAAATTATAAACGAAAAAAAATAAAATAATATACACATATGTAAGAATTAAAAATACATATATATTATTTTAAAAAATTATCTAATGGGCATGCACCCATGTTTTGAAATCTCATTTGACCACCAAAATTCCAATTTTTTCGTCTGATATTGAAGCTTTTGGCAGCTATCCCAGTATTGTGGCAAATTTTCCTACATAGTATTTTTTTAGAAATTTTAGGAATGCGTCCACAAAATTATCAAGAGTGATGCTAATTAAAGAGTTAATATATATACAGATTTCCATGTGCCAATCACATGATCGACTGGTATAGGATTGGAGTATAGGTCACGATCAGGTGTTTCTGGACCATGGTCCTCAAGATCGATCTAGATCATGATCCTAGATTAACAAAGAGTCCAGGATCAGTGTTTTTCTTCTTTGACGCACTTATGGCTTTTCATATTGCAAAATAAAAATAAAAATGAAATAAACAAAAAAAAAATTATAATTAAAGGCGAATCAAGGAAAAATAATTCCCCGGAAAAAAAAATCCCCGTTTTTTAAAGATATTAAAAATTACAAAATAAAATAAAATAGGAGAAAAAAAAAATTCCCTATAAATATATCCACGAAATAAAAATCCTCAAATAAAATATTTGAAAATTTTGAGAAAATCAATCCAGGAAAAATTATTTTCTGAGAATTATTATTGTGGAATTTTTTTTTCCCTGGAAATTATTTCCCGCTTATCTTTTTTAAGCATACATTGAATTGATTCGATATTAATAAGAATAACAAACTTGACTCTAAATTATACAACAAAAATGTAATGAATTACAAAAAAAATGAAGAACTTTTGATGGTTGATCTGAATTAAATGATGGCCTAAAATTGTTTAAAAAAATTCAAAAAAATAAAATTTTAAGCAACGTTTTGCGTTACCTTTACTCAAAAAAAAAAAGAAAAACGCGTTTATGAAATAAGTAACGAATAGCGCTCTTTTCTTCAACAAAAAGGTAACGCCATTAGTAACGGCGTTATTTTTACCGACGTTACTTTACACCATATTATTATTCGTTCCTTTTATCTGTTATGGTCGTTAGATTTTACAAATAATTTGGCGTTTCTCTTAATTTTATATAAAAAAAAATTTAGGCCTTGCCTTTAATTTATAATAAATATAAAAATTCTTATACTTATTAGGATTGGATCCCTGCAAACCAAATGGAGTTTCCAGATATGGCAATTGCGAATGCAACAAAAATTTTATGGGAATATTTTGCGAAAATCAGAGTAATTAATTGAAACAGAATTGTGGCTTTATATGCTTAATCGGCTATTACGCCAAAACTACCATTTTTTTTTGTTGGAATTGTATTTCACTATCTATAAAAACCGAATAAAGATCGAAAGATAATTCATATTCGATTCGTTTAAGAATCAAACAATTTACTATTCGATTAGTTTATTTATAAAAAGTAAATTAATCGATTAGAAATACGATATGATCCATTATTCAATTCGTTTTTTGAATAAGCCGGCTGAATGTGTACAGTAAGTAACGCGACATCTAAGAATTTAAGATAATTTTGCAAAGATTTCGCTAATTTTTTTCTCTTTCATTTTTGTAAAATTATTATTATCAATTTTAAAGTTAACCTAAAATTTCACGGCAGAATTGTGTGAAATTAGTAAGATTCCAGCTAAATTAAGTTTTTCATAATAAACAAAATATGACTTAAATATTAGTCATGGCCGCTCCTAAGCCCGGTTGAGAAAGGAGGTTTGCGTTAGACTGGTAGTAGGAAGTGAAAACCCTTACTGCCAAAAAATGACAAATCTTATATTTATTTCATCTAGACTCTTCGTTTCGACTTACTATTCATCATAAGTGTGGTCCGAAAGGAGGGGGCAAGGGGAAATTCTCCCCTTCAAAAATTTGCCTGTTTGTAAATAAAAATATTCCCCTCCCCGCACACCTCCATGAATGACTTCAATTAATATTTTAAATGCATTATAAAATATATTTATAAAATTAAAGATGATTGCGATACAGACGCGGATTGTAATAACAATGGTAAATGTATCGACATAAATGCCACCACGTTCCCCACCAAAGTTTGTTTTTGTAAATGGGGATTCTTGGATAAGGATTGTTCTAGAAGTAGCAACTATATTTTATATATTTTATAACGAAAAATCTCGAAAATAATAATTATATTGATAGAGTTTATACTAATATTTCAACTGAGTTTTCTAAAAAAATTCTATAAAAATAGTGGAGTCACTCTGAAAAGGGTCATATATTCACGTGAATGGGTTTTTTTTAAGTTTTAATCATTTATATTTAGTACTATGCCAAAGTTGGTGAAGTATTGTGATACATTTTCATATTTTAAAGACACCGTTTTTAACACTGTATATTATACTGTACATACATAATTTTTAACAAAGAATCATCGATAGACTCGTGGGATTTTGATCCGATCTTGTATAACGTTAGAGATCTTGCAACACAACCCGGAAGTGAATACAAATTATATTGGAGAATTTTAAACGAGAGCAATGAAATCGAAATGGTGCTACAAGCTAATTCTACCAATTGGTTAGGGATTGGATGGAGGCCCAACAGTTATATATTTTTTATTATAATTTTTAGTAACTATTCATCTCTTAAAAATGGATTTTATTATTTCGGGTGTTTTATTTAGAGATGTTTTAGAAAGTAACTTATTATTGTTTATGTATGAATTATTTACACTTTATATTCAATTTTTTAAAGATTTAAGATCAAAATGCCAACATTATCCTATAAATCTTGAAAGAGGTGGTAATCCCATATACCCCAAACTTATAAATTATCCCGCTTATGATATACCAGTTAGCGAAAATCGACCATCGAGCGAACCAAATAAGAATAGGCCACTCCCTGAAATAGCTAAATTAGGGGAGGACGAACAATTGCTGGAAACTAGATTTCCGTTGACGCCATTACGCGAGGGAGAAGAAGTCCCTGCAGACAAAAATATAACTTTAAGAAATACACCTCTATCTGAAGGTGAACCTTCAATCAGTGAACCAATTCCAAAAATTGGAAATAATATCGTGCCAAAAAGTGAGATCGCTGCAACGAAAAATTTACCGACTTCTGAAGGCAAACCGCTTCCAGAGGGAGAACTAGTTTCAACTAAAATGTCCGAGCGTAATAAAGCGTCGATCGGTGAGCCTATACCTAAACCCGAAGGTGAAGCAACGGCAAAGACACATCTCTTACCCCTTAACACACCAAAATTGGAGCCCCCTCAATCAGAAACAGTAAGGGCCGCTATACAGAACGATAAAGACATTCGTAAAAATTTTAACACCATTCCCAAGTCATTCACCATAATAAATTCGACCAATAACACTCTATATTTAATTCCGTCTCATAGAAAAAAAAGACAGCTAAGTGACACGAGTACGACATTATCATTCGTTACATTTCCGACCACTCTCATCAGCGCATTTATAACTTCCTCTTCCTTGACTATGGGTCCGAATAAAAAGGTTTTGGATATAGCGCGCATTATGACTGCTATAAAATCGAAAGATCCAGTCGGTGATAAAAACCTAGGAACGGTTCCTATTTCTGAGAGTATTAATAATGGAAATAATATATTGAGGGCAAATAATAAGAGAACTACCCCTAAACAAATCAATTCGAAATATTATTTTTTATTCACTACGGTGAATAATACGCGAGTGAAAATAATAACGACACCACCGCCTCTAATTAACACGAGTGGAATTCCCATTCCCCTATCGGAAGGTGACAGTGATAATTTGCAGAAATTTAATTTTGGATCAGCTAACGTTACAGCCTACACTAATAAACAAACGTCCGATTTAATAGTGCTAACTAAATTAAATTCCGCCATTCCTTCATCCGAGACCTCTCCCGCTGTATCAGTGGCGGAAGTAATTCCAAAGGCGGAGGCTAAGCCAGAAACTATTAGTGAACCGATTAATAAAAATGCACCCGGTATATCAGTGGCAGAAGTAATTCCAAAGGCGGAAGCTAAGCCAGAAACTATTAGTGAACCGATTAGTGAAAAGGCCATCCCGCAATCTGAAAGTATCTTATCTAAAACTCCACCTGTAAAGAATATTCCAGTGTCCGAGGAAGATCTCGATAATATCGCTACTAGTAAATTCGAATCTTTTAAAATTTAGTTTATTCCTGACTTCGACTTTCATAATTCAATTTATTTCAAATTAATAGATTAATTTTAGATATATCTACAAATATTTATATACATGTTCAAAATTTGGTTATTTTGAAAGTAAATTATGGTATCAGTATGATTAACTACTTTTATAAGAAATTATTTTGTTAATGCAATTACAGAATATTGGTTTGACAATTATTTCCTAATGAAAATTTATGGCTCATATTTTATTTTTCTAATTTTATTTACAGAGGGTAATCCAATTCACCCTATGGATTGCATGGATATGGTTATAGGTATGGCGCGAGATTATTATTTTAGAATAGATGATTATTATTCTAGAGACAGGTCCACACCTATGCTAGACACCGTATTTGGTGGAAGAAATGATATTACAGGAGCTATGGGTTACGAAAAAGATGGGCAAACAACCATATTATTTCGCAAAAAATTGAAATGTTTGAGTTTAATATAGTATCTTAATCATGGATAAAGATTGGTTGGGCTAAATCTAACTCATTTTTTTAAGACTTTAATTATGTTGTTTAAACTGTAAAGTTTGAAAAAGTTTTAAAAAAAATTAACTATTCTTGCTTAAAATGATAACAAAAGTAAAAAGAATTTAATAAAAATAACCAATATACACTATTTAGCCTCTGACTTAGCCGATCACAGTATCATAGACGACCTTATGCACGTATCCTGGGCTAAAGGTCAAAATATAAAGGCTCCTTATCACAACCCTCATTCAGGAATTGAGCAGGTTTTTATAATTATATTTATAAATAAATTGATCATTTAAATAATATATATATATATTATATATTTTAATAAAGTCATAATTTTTATTTAGCTATATGACAATGTAAATAAAACTTTATTTCCAAATTAATTTAATATAATATAATATTCAAAAATAAAATAATATTCTTTTAGAATAAATTAGTCTCTAGTAATTAAAGTCAATAAAAAACTATAGAAAGTGTTGATGTTGGTATCTAATGCCGGGATATGGGTGTTGGAATATGTAAATTACTTGGAATTAAATTAGAGAAAAAAGAAGTAATATTCAAAAGAAGTAATATTCAAATCGATTATTTAACAGAAAAACGAAACGATTTATTAGAATATTTGAGTAAAGACTATGCAAATGAAAAGTATATATAATCGGGAATATTTTACTTAATAAAATGATCATGATTTTAAGAACTTAATTTTTAATTTTAATTTTTTTTATATTATTTTAATTTCTTATTTTAATTATGATTATGTAATCAGTATTTATATTAATTAATAAATTCTCTTAACCATTAAAATTTTACATTGGTGTTGGAGAGAGGAGGCGACAGGGCAATTACAACAATTTAGTCTAATTAACTCTGAAAAGAAATTCTAAATAAATGGGGAAGGAGATGTATGAAATGACTATCGACACTAAGACAAAGAATGAGAGCAATAAAACAATGGTATCAATATTAATGGTCGTAATTCGGAAAAGAATATAATTAGTCGTTTAAAATATTTGTCGTAAGAGATCTTAAGACGAAGTTGATATAGTGACAAGCGACTAGGTAGAACAAGTGGTCTGCAATCGTTAATCGTTGACAAATTATCGCCATTGCTTATCAAAACTTTAGTATAAGATACAAAACTGATGATCTAAGAAACAAAAATTCGTGAAAATGGCAGATCAAGCATCGCACATCGTTGATCGAGATAAAGCAATGATCATTAGTTACAAAAGAACGTTAGAAACAAGCAAAAGACCAAATTAATTTATCAGGAGATTTTAAGACGTAGTATAGATAATCGTTGAATAGCAATCGTGTATCGTTTAAAAGCATGCGTTAATCAAGTTGTCAGTGCTAAAAGATCATAGACAAGAAACAAAAATATTGGTATTTCGCAGGATGTGGGGTCTAATCTAAGTGTAAGGGTGTTGTAATATGTAAATTACTTGGAATTTATTTAGAGAAAAAAGAAGTAATATTCAAATCGATTGTTTAACAGAAAAACGAAACGATTTATTAGATTATTTGAGTAAAGACGATGCAAATGAATAGGAAAGTATTATAATCGGGAATATTTTACTTAAGAAAATGATCATGATTTTACGAACTTAATTTTTATTTCTTTTAATTTTAATTTTTTATATTATTTTAATTTCTTATTTTAGTTATGATTATGTATTAGTATTTATATTAATAATTATACTATTTATTTTATTCTCTAAATTCTCTCAACCACTACATTTGTTGGCCGAAACATTATGTTCTATGGACTATTCAGTCTAAATAACTTTTCAAAACTTTTACAATGGGGATAGAAATGGACTTAAAATCTCTCAATTTTTAATAGTGGTTTTACATGGCCGCCAATTTTACATAATTCTTTTATTATTCAATATAAAGATTTGGCCTGTTCTTCCCCATGAAAAATTTTAAGGCGTAGAAATAAATTTATATTATTAAATAAATTTAGGGTAGCGCAAATGATAAAATGTTTTATCGCGACGATGAACTTAAATATCACGGCACTAATGGAAATCAAAGAGGGTCGCAAACGTTCAATTTTTATGGTAATAATTTTTTTTAAACATATTATAATGAATGATTTAGCTAAATATGAGGAATTTTTTTTTTGGGGGGGGGGGGGGATTTATTACGATCCATTTACCCAATTCCCCACCCCCTAAATTCTCTATGATATAAATAAATTTATATAATTTTTTTTTAAAAAAAAACTAACTTGAATAAAACAACCGATAAAATTGTGAATTTTTTTTAAAAAAAATAATAAGACGCAACTAAAAATAAATAAAATCAAAGCGTCCTAGGCGTTTTTTTCTGAAAAGTACGCGGTATTCAGATTTAAGTACAAAAAATTAAGAGGAGCGATGATGCAGCATATTGAGAAAAATATTTTACTACAAGTTATATTCAAAACTTAAGAAGTTTTATGGTTAAGGTAGGGTTAGGGTTATTTCGTTTTTTTTTCTATATCGAAAAATTGAAAAAGAAAACATGTCCTAAAAAGATATTTTCTTTATATTTGAAATTGAAAAAAAAATATTTGAAGGCTTACTACCTAGTTTGTCTTATTTCTTTTTAAAATTCTGAATAGCAGTCGGAAATAGTGATTTTTAGACTAAAAAAAATAGAATTGGTATTTATATATATATTTTTTGCTATTTTATTAGGACCATGTCCAAAATCATTTTTTAAAAAAATTCGAACAAAGTTTTAAAATTTTAAAATGTCAAATTTTTGAAATTCTCTAGAATTATATTTTAGACATTTTATTTTTCTATATTAAAAAAAGGAGTTTATTTCTTCTTTTTTTGATAAAGTTTCAAAAGTTTGCCAATCAAATTTTTTGATATTTTGGACACAGCATCCATAATAAAACTTTTATATTTACAAAGGTTTTTTAAAATTATTTTCAATTAAAATCGAAATGTTCAAGGCCGAACAATATTTTTTTATAAATTATCTGACTTTGAAAATAATTTATCATTTAATTTTTCGCCATAAATTTATTATTATACAACTCAAAAATCTTAAATATACCTTTAAAATCTTTTTAAATATATAATATGCGCACTCCACCCCCAATTTAGATAAACTTCCATCGATAAAAAGCCCAACTTCCGTCATATTACCTAGTCATGTCCCATTAAACGGGTCCTCTTCATCGAGTCTAAACGCCAGTAGTAATATCAATAAATGCGATATAACGGAATGGAAATATCCCAAAGATTGTGTAGAGGATGAATGCGTATACAAGGCCACTTGGATTTACGAACCGGAAACGGATAAAATAGCGTTCACCATTAAATCCAAAGCCTCCATCACAAAATGGACAGGTATTGGATTTTCCAAGGGCCGTGTAATGCCTAACTCTGACGTTATATTCGGCTGGGTCACTGCTGAAGGAAAAGTCGTTGTGTTTGACGGGTTTCTTTTAAAATTAATTAATTTTTCATGATAAAAAAACGCAAATATTGGTAATGTGTTAACAAGGCATTTTTTTATTGGTCAATATTTAAAAATGGCTTCCAATGTTTCTGAAGAGGCGGGCTACTTGGCAAATAATTTTAAATCCAAACACAGAAGTTGTGATATATTAATAGGTAGGGTTATTTTAATTCAAGAATAGTTATATTTCTATTTTAAATGGTTTAAATCATTTTTATTTTAAACGAATTTTCTTAGATGGGCTGAAGGAAAAAGAGAACCTATCAAAGATGTTCAGCAAGATTTAAGTGACATAGAAGGCGGATACGCTAATAATACAATCACATTGAAATTCAAACGTAAAAGAAACACGGGAGATTTGATTCATGATATTCAATTTACGGATTCACAATGCAATTATATCTTTTTCCCATATTCTGCTGGTGAATGGTAAAAAAAATTTTTTATATTAAAATAATTACATCCTCCTTCCTTGAAGGAAGGAAGGAAGGAAGGAAGGAAGGAAGGAAGGAAGGAAGGAAGGAAGGGGTTCATTTAACCACGTATTACCGGGAATTTAAAATGTGATCATTCAAATATAATCTTTGAATTTCAAATAAAAAGGTTTTCTTTTCAAAGGTAAAGTCAAGAATATAGGAAATGAATGAATGCTTGAGTGGTCCACCATATTAATTTCGAGTGATTAATCAAATCTATTGATTTTATAAAAGGGGCGCCTAGAGAAAAAAAATAGAATAAATATCTAAAAATAAAAATAAATATTATTGAAGGAAAGAAGATAACGCTATTACAAAACACGAAAGTAACCCCTTTGTCACTGCGGAACCAATTTGCGTTAGAAATTGCCTCAGTAGTCTCAGTAATAACAAAAATAAATATATAAACTTGATAATAAAAAATCTTTGTAAAGATATTTAAGAAGATTAATTTTAAACCCTACAAACATAGGTCAAGCCCGACCGAGGTCTGACCTGACGGGCTTGAACCTAATTAAAGATTTGACAGAGTCGGGGCTAACAAAAAAAATCTCCTTTTTTTTCTAGCTTTTTGTAATATATAACTTTTTATAGCCTAAATGACATTCCGCGAACCTATTCAATTGTCACGAAATGACTTTTTAGTTTTAAATAATATTTTTTTTCTGAGCATTACATTTTATTCGTTTGTATTCTTACGTGGAATTTTTTTAAAAATAAAATTTATATTAGTATTTAATTTATCTATAAATAAATTCTTTAAATTGCCTATTCATTTGCCCCAATATATATATAGTTTCTTTATAATCATTATCTATAAATTTAAAAAAATATATAATTAGTATAAATCAACTTATGCACGTTTAAATAAAAATTTAAACTCTTTGAAAACTTTATCTATACAATTTGGATTGTTTGTTAGCTTCTCTCTGAATCGTGAATTGCTGTACGTCTACTAAGCTGTTCTTTGTTATATATTGAAACTAAATTATAATTACCATAAATTTAGAAATTAACTTTTTTAAAAAAATATATTTAAATTATAAAATTTTATTATTGGAATAAGTGAGGAGACATTTGCGCTGCTGAACAGGAGCCCAATTAAAGTTATATGTATAAAATATAAATATTTTGCATTGATGGGTAATAATAACTCTGAAGTGTGCCAAACTATAGAGGCTCGCTATAATATATATATTATTTTAAAGTTTAACTTAAAGTCCTCTTATATAAATTTTATGATTACAACTCCCCTCCCCCCACCCCATAGATAAAACCGACACACCTAATCTAGTCACCACGACAAATAACCTAAGCGACAAGACAGGGGCGGCTTTTAACATGTCTTTCATATCGCCGATGGATTGGAACGAAAACTTAGTCGACCCTAGAAATCCTGATTATCAACTTTTAGCCAATCGAATACGTGTGAACGTAATTAAAACTTCCTCTGTTTTTTTTTAAAAAAATAAATTGAAATTAAATATGAAAATAGTATTTAAGCTTACGATTTTATAATTATCAAATTTAATAAGATATTTAAATCGAGATTTCTAAAAAATCTCCACCAATAGTAGGACCCGTTTTGGCGCGATTTAATAGCTGAACGATTTTAGAATTTTTTTTTAATATTAAAATCAATGGCTTATTATCATAAATATTTGATCCCATAAAATCGATCAGCTGTTAAATCATATTGAATCGTAATCCTTTTATGAATCCAGCCTTAATTGAAGTTTTTATACACATATCATACAATTTACTCCTCACTGGCATATTTTGTATATTTCACCGCCAATTTGCGTGAACCGTGAATATAAGGGTAAATGAGACCAGGTGTTTTGCTTGTAAGTTAGGAAAAAATTTATTTTATTTTTATTAAAACCTCATCTTATATTCATTAAGCTTATTTATTATTACAAATATAAAATATACGAGTAAAACTATAAATAAATTTATTTGAAATCACGAGAAGATTTAAATTCCTCAATTTTAAATCATTTTAACCGAGGTCGATTTGTTTTTTTAAATTGAAAAGGAAAAAAAAATTGACAATTTTGCCGTCAAACTTTTGACGACAACTCTTAATTTATATATATATATATAGATATTTCCTTATAAATTCTTTAAATAAAATTAAATGCGCAAATGTTATGTGTATATGTATTATATGACAAGAGAAAAATACATATAGAAAACACTATAATTCTAACTACCGAGAAGGGTAGATTACTTTGCACCGATGACATATAATAATACCTAAACTTATATGATATCATAATAATCATTTTAAAACGTCGTTGGATGCGAATCAGCTGGGAACCACGTGATATGCCATTTTGGTATAGGATCCATAAATACTTCAATTTGAATTTGGTCTGCAAAATACATATTTTCTTGTGAAATTATGAGGCAGGACATCATTTTACTTCGCTCACATTAAAAAAAATATATTTATATATGTTGTGCCTATCCAAAATGGCGTCTTAATGGCGTCCTCAGCTGTTTTTCATTGATAAACACTTTTGATGAATGCATCAGTTTAGCTATTGTTATATGTCATTGCTCTGCTGGAATAGATTTCCCGAAAAATCAGATTCTTCTATAATTTTAATCGCTCTAGTATACACACAGAAGGATTTTTCGTGCAAGGTTATATTTCAGGAAAACCCGAAATAATAATTTTTTTTATTAAAGCATTATAATATGAACTTTATTTTTGGAATAAATAACAGGTCAGAGATTCTCTGAAGCAAATACCGGAATTTCGAGATTTTCAAGTGACCAAATTAAGGTAAAATAGATTTTTTTTTTTTTTAAAAAAAAATTAATAAAATACCTATTATTATTGTTTTTATTCATGCTTCTCAATTTCTAGTAAGAGGTTAGCTATTTAAAACAGTGGCTTCGTCTAGGAAGGGGTAAAAGCTTAATATCCACTCTTTTAAATCCCGAAATAATAGAAAGTGCTAATATGTGCTAATAAGTCTTATATTTTGGCAAGGTCAGGTCTTTTCAATAAATTTAAATGTATTTTTTTTACATAATGATTACTATTCTTTGATAAATTTTTAGGATATCCGATATCTTTATATCGGTAATTTATACATACATATATATATATATATATATAAAACCATATAATCTCATATATAAAATTTTGCTTCTAAAAGATTAAAAACATAAAGCAAAATAAAGGGAAAGAGGTCCAATAACTATGTTTTACTTATTTTCACAACTATTACTATATATAATGCAGTAAAGGTAGCATTATGGTGGACTCCAAATTCGCGATACTTGGCGATAACCCAGAAACTGCCAAAAAAATTAAAGAAACTTTGATAATGTCAGCTTCAAAGGGAAGGATAGGTGATATTGAAGTAGCTCCAAGCTCACTCAATTTTAATTCTATAGGTAAGAAAAAATTTCAATATATTATATTTTTTAAAAAATAAATATTATTTGAAAGATTAGTGTGTATATTCTAGAGTGACCGAACCCGAATCCCCTCCCCTTTTGGAAAAATACCTTATGCCTATATGTGATTGAATACAAGAAATTTATATTCTATCTTATTTTATTTTACCGAAGGGGAATTCTGTGTCTAATAATAATTTTAACCAAATTACCTATTGAAATAATTATTATATTAATTGTATATAAATCTAACCCCTCCCCCCACCCTATTATAAATATAAATTAATTCTATTTAAAAAAAAATTAAATAACACTACATAAAAGGTTGCTATGCCCAAGAAAATTTTTACAACTCGGGTGACAAATTTTACCTTTCCAACCCTGCTTACGATGTATGCCACAGTTGTGTTTGTCAAACAAATCAAAGCTCCACCTGCGAGAGAGCTCCATGTCCGAGCCCTATGGATATCATCAGATCCTTAAATCCACCATCATCTACATTCGATGATATATCTAATAATAAAAACCCTAACTCAGCGCCGAGCACTGGAATATCCTCAAGTAAGTTTATCATACGGGGTTGTCTTATATCTCTCTTCATATTCAAACTCCTTTTTTAGGCCTTGAAAAAATGTTTTATTTTCTAATAAAATATCCATCATTTCAAATTAGAAATATTAGGATTTAAACTGCTGTTTGGTAAATAATAATGAGCCCTTTTGCTACAATCTTCTTTTAATTACAAAGATTTTATAAAAGTGATATATATGATTAATAATCAAGTCCTATACCAATCTACTTTCATTTATTTTTTTACATTAAATTATGTTTTTTATTATCCAAAATTATATTAAAAACCTACAATTTATTTCTGAGCATATAAATCAGTATTAAATTCACATTTCAAAATATGTTATAGATATTATTTTTTTTATTAAAAATTTTTCCCAAGAGTCATATATTATTATTTGTATAAATAGATATAAAATATACACATAATTTTAAGCACTATTAAAAACCTACAATTTATTTCTGAGTATATACATTAGTATTAAATTCACATTTCAAAATATGTTATAGATATTATTTTTTTTATTAAAAATTTTTTCCAAGAGTCATATATATTATTATTTGTATAAATAGATATAATATATACACATAATTAAGCACTATATTATATTTCGAGATCGCGTATATTTTTTTTTTGAATATAGTTAACTATTGTAAGGTGGACTATTTATTTTTTATAAAATATTAAAGTATGAATGAAAAAGATATAAATATATATTTTTTTAAAGAAATTTAAGCTTAAAAAGATCTTTAAAAAATTTTACTTGTAAATAATTTGTAATGGTTAAATGATTTTAATTTCTTTTTATATAATAACTTAACTTTAATCTAGGAAGGGGTCCGTTTAAAAATAAATTGTAATAGAGATAATACAGTAAAACTAGTTGAAATAGCAAACTAAATCTCAAGTTCCAGGAACTAATTTAGTGAAAATAAAATTAGTCGCTGAGCGGATTCAGTTATAACGACATTTTACTGCTGTTAGAATTTTTTTTAAAACTCAATATAATTAAGTATTTTTCTTTACAAAATTATTTTTATCTAACGATAAAAAAAATAAATGTCAAGTTTAACATCTAAAGTTCCTTCAAAATTCATACTTTAATATTTTATAAATTTCGGACACCCTTTTTCTTTAGAGAATATCTTTAAAACAAAAATTGTCACTTTTACTGATTATAATAAATTTATGGACATAAATATAGTATTTGCTGTTTATATTATGATGATTTATTATTATACAGAGTAGTCTATATTTACATTCCTATTTATAGTTATAAAATAAATAAAATATATTGATATAAAATATAGTTTTTAATAAATTTTGAAATTTAGGATGTTTTAAAGAAATATTCTTTAAAAATAATAATAGTTTTTAACATGCATTAGTTATAATGTTGAAACTATAGTATATAATATAAATATAAAATCCAATGATAGTGTTGTTAAAAGACTCGATTGATTTTTTTTTAAATGGATAATTAAGATTTTAATCAAAACAATATTATGTGCCTCGAGATTTGTCAGGCTTACATAATACTTATTGGCTAAACATAATCGGGCCGTTTTCAAAATTTTGAAGTCAATTAATGAATTTAGAATCAATTTGACATTTAATTTCACGAATTTTTAATTTGTTAATAAGTGGAATGATTCTAATAGTAATTTTATTGTAAGATATCTAAAGTAAATGTATCTTATAGAAGTAATTTTTCCTTGTTTTCTGATTACAATCATCGATGTGATCATTTACCCTAAAATATGATTTTCTCTTGGTAAAAAAAAAAGACAAACAAAATATTTGCTTTTTCTATTTATTTTATGTGTGCATTAGTTAATTATGTTCCCAATAGGAACCATAAATATATCTAATTTCAATGGGCCTAAAGTTTTAAAAAATTGAGAGAATAATTGCTAAAATGGTTGTTTATATTACCATATATTATAATTCCTATCTAAAAAAAATTACAAATCAAATACGAATTCATATGAATCAAAAAATATATTTAATTTTTATATATAAATTTATAATTATTAATATACAATGTTAGATAAAATGAAAATATTAGCGATATGCTCCCTAGCTTTGGTTTTGATATTCATTAACTTGATACTTTTGTCTTCGAGATGCTACAGAAACTATCGAGATTCAAGGAAAAGGTGGTTGGATCAAGAATACTTGGAAGTTTGTTTAACTTTCTTTTCTTTTCTTTCTTTCTTTCTTTCTTTCTTTCTTTCTTTCTTTCTTTCTTTCTTTCTTTCTTTCTTTCTTTCTTTCTTTCTTTCTTTCTTTCTTTCTTTCTTTCTTTCTTTCTTTCTTTCTTTCTTTCTTTCTTTCTTTCTTTCTTTCTTTCTTTCTTTCTTTCTTTCTTTCTTTCTTTCTTTCTTTTAATCTCAATTAATGTAAAAGGTATAATTTTTCATTCCAATTTGTATTAATAGAATTTTGAATTAAATATATATATATATCCCATCAAAAATTTCCAAAATATAATTTTATTAAAATTTATCAAAGATGCTATTCTTATTCCAATATTTTATTTTAAATTTATTTATCCCCCGGACTTTAATATTTTTTACATCCGAAAATATGTGGGGGTTTTCTAAAAATAACCCTTTTTACAGTCTTGAATAAGGAATGAAAACACAACATGAACAATATTTTTTTAAAGAACTATATTACATTGAAATTAATATTTTTCCAAAATAAACCTTTTTTAGGAGTTCAAGTCAGTGGCAAACATTTATAATATAAATACGAGTTACGCTAAACACATAGCGGATTCTTCTACGCGTCCCCATGATATCAAAGAATCTTCTATCATATTCAATGAGAGGCTTTAGACATATTCAATGACAAACTTAAGACAGATTCAATGACATGAAATTTACCGAGAGAAAATATCTAAACTATTTTATTATTTTCTCAAATATATCAACTTGATTTTTTTTCCAATGTCAATCCTTAAAAATGTTTTTCCTTAAATGATTTTATAAACTATAGAAGAAAAAAAGAAGGCCTTAGAAAAGTATTGTGAAATAATATAAAATTTTGCTTTGTCGTTCAATTCCGAAATTATAAATTCATTGGAGGAAGTTTAGCATTTTTTAAATACAATCCCAGTGTAATAATTTTTCGCATTATCTAATAATATAAACAACAAAAATGATCTTTTTTAAAAAAATATGAGCATTTATTTGATGTCTTTTTTTTTGAATATTCACAAAACGCATTTATATATATATTTTTTTATATAAACTTTACACAAAATAGCATTTTTTAGATAATAAAATAAATGTTTTTTCAGTTATTAGTTGAATTTATAAATGGGGGTATGTATATTTATATCAGAGTTCTGCAGAGATACCAATTACAAGGCCGGGCCCTTAAAAATATTTTAATAAAATGATTTTGAAATAATATAGCAAATATGAGAAATGAATGAATGTGATATGTTATTCAATTATACAACAATATTTTATTTTTTTTATATTTAATTTCATCCATATATTTTTAAATATATAATAATCGCTATTTAAGAGACTCGGCCCAGCACAGATTTATAGGAAGAAAAATTTAAGCCCGGCCTGGGTTTCTCTAAAGAAAAATTTTACAGACTGGCCCAGGTATACACGGGCTACTGCAGACCAGGCCTCTGATATTGCTTTAGTTAATGCAAATCAATTAGTGTTGTTAAAATGGCTCGGTTTGAGCCGATTTTTAAAACGGCTCACTCAATATTTTGGCCAGAAATAAATTACGTAAGCTTAAAGATTTTTATCATAGTATACACACCAAGATTTAGATATAGTATATTGACAAATTCTATAGGCGTGTGCAATATTTTCCTGGGTAGAATATTGAGCTAGCTAAAAATTGGCCGAAATCGAGCCGTTTAACAACACTAAAATCAGTAAATTTGTGCATTGCCTTAGTCGACTACTATCGAGAAATCTGTTTAATAGATAAAATAAAAAAGGGGGTGGTCAGTCTATGCCTATGGCCAATCAAGACACTTCTTAACTACATTTATCAAAAGCCAATATGTCGTTAGTTCGATTAGATTATCATCTTCATATAATCATCTTCATATAATCATCACTACTATTCTTATTAGTTTCCATAAAATATGGGGATATATGAGCAATATATCTCGGCCATGAATCATTTTTAGATAAAATATTTTGTATTTTAACTCATATTATTTTAATGTATGATGAAAATAATAAAAATGTTCTTTTTAGTATTCTGAAAACTAATAGCTTATACCGGCTTTTAAATAATTTTAATTAAATAATTGATTACTAAAGTTTCCCGAATATTTGACTTTTCAAAAAAAAAATTTAATATCCCAAACTAATATAAGGTTTACTATTTGAATCTCAATGGGTAATATAAATTCTTTAAAAAATTTTGATATCTCTTGAACTCAAAATTTTTCTACTCACTAAATTTCAAACCAAACGCGAATTAGGTTAAACCTAAACCCCCTTTAAACCTAAAATTAATCTCTAGAAACCGCTTCATCGGATATTTTTAAGTGATAAGGTCAATAGTTTAGTTAAGAGCGGAGGCACGTTCGTTCCTTCTATTTATTAAATTTATTATTATCTTTTCATATTGTCTACAAATCTGATCAAAAAAAATTAATTGAAATGTTTAAATTAGGCTTGGGCACTCTTGAAACTGGTAAAAATCGAACCTGGTAAAAAAATTCAAAACAAGTTATTGGAACATTTATAAATAGATCTATGCAACTCATCATAAGACTTCCATCTATAACGCATAAACTATATACGTTGCTTGAGCCACATATTACTGTTCTGTCGAAATAGAGACGGCACTGTATCTTTTCTATTCTATTCTATTCTTTTCCTTTATATTATTTTATTTGTATTCTTTTTCAAATCTCATTGTTTCTATTTTTAGATGAAGTCAAATAGATATATATATTCCTAATATCTTCGACAAAGGCTCCAAGCATGCTAAAATGGGGAAGTGGCCCAAAGTTAGGTGACCTAACGGCATTCTATGGAATTAATGAATGAAACACAGCTTTTATAAAATCTTTATTTGAAATATC